ATATGAGTTAGTATGTATTTTATGTAGCTTTAAATTTTATGGCTATGTTAATTAGGTACATTGTACCGCTCTTTTTAGCCGCCCTGAGCCTGTTCGCAGGATGGGCGGGGTATAAATATAATAAACAAATAAATATCTCCAAGAAAAATCACCTTCATAATCCAAACCATTATATTCTTAAAATTTCCTGTAAAACAGAAGCAGCTATTAAAAAGCAGAAGCATTGCCAAGAAGATTATAACAGACAACAAAAATAAAGAAGTCCTTAACAATTTGTAACTTTTACAGCATTGCGTTGGGATCATACTGTGAATCATCCAACCCAAAACTGGAACAATGAAACTGAGCTAATAACAGCAACCTATATGGGAAATTTTGTGAATACTCTTGCAGATAGCGTAATAAAAGAGATTGATGACCAGTTTTATCCCCAAATAGATGTTACAATACTGCATTGACCCAGAAAAACTGTTTCCAACTGCATACCAGCAGCAATTTCTCAAAACTATGCTGGTAAGACTAACCAGAAATCTCAACAACTGTAACATATATTGATGTTAAGAAATGAGCAGTGACTCACAAAAGCTCATACTCTGCCACATATTTTGTTAGTCTTTAAGGTGCTACTGGACTCTTGCTCTTTTTTACTGCTATAGATTGATGTCTATATTTAAAAGCCAGGCTTATAGAATCAGTAGCCATTACTCAATAGTCTTAAATAAAATCTATTTTAAAACAGACGTTGTCTTAGCAAGCCTGAAAGTATCATTACTGCAGAATAACACAGTGTCAAATACTATCCAAAGTTAGACAGCAATTATATGTGGGTATCAGAAATGGTTCTGTGTTATAAAAATCAACCCAGTTTTCTCAGGAAGGTGCAAATAGCAATGTTTCTGCATACAAGATCTGCATACAACCTTGGGACCCTACACAAAGATGCCATTATTTGTGTGCCAGAATAACTACAAAAATGACAAAACAGTTTACACTACTTACTCTAATGGGCAAGATTGGGGGGGGGGGTGTTTACAGGTATGTCTTCAAAAATCCAGGGGTCATCTTACATTCACATACAAGTTAGTTATATTCAGGAAAAGAAAAAGGTTTTGGTTTGCCTCGAAGAAAAAGAGGCAAAGACTGGAACAAATCAAGAAAATAACTGACAGAATTCAGATTCTGGAAGGCCAGCATAAAAAATCCTTGAAGGAAAAAAGTCTTAGTAGAAAAATGAGGAAAAAATGAGTTTTTTTAAAATAAAAATATTTTCAGCATGCAAACACACCAGTGATATCTTGCATATTGTCTTCGTAAAGAAACCAAAAGGAGAAAAATAATTGGAGTACGTAAAAAAGATAAAATCACCTATGCAGAGAAAGAAATCCTACAATTTGGACTTCCCCCCCAAAAAAACTATTAAAAAGACTTTTCAACAGTAAATGGAATGAATATATTACAGAAGCTTTAACTTGTAAATTTTCAAATGAAGACAGAGAAATTTTGAATTAAAGCATTTAAATTCAAGAGGTTTCACAAGCCATCAAGAAATTACAAAATGATAAGGCACCAGGACCTATTTCATTGTTGAATGTGGACTATAAATTCTTTGCTTCAATCATAGTTGATAGACTAAAGAAATGTATCTCCAAAGTAATCCATTCTGATCAGACTGGTTTTGTACCAAAAAGACATATGAAAGACAATGTTCATTTTGTTGTTGATGCAATAGAACATGTTAAACACAAGGGCAAAAAAGCAGCCTTTTTGTTTTTATACACTGAAAAAGCTTTTGATAATGTATCTTGGACTTTTCTACAAAAAACACTGCAATATTTTAAGTGTGGTCTCAGATTTTCAAATTGGATACAGAACATCTATACCAAACAACAAGAAAAATTTTAATCAACGGGGGTCTTGACAAATGGATTTAAAATAGAAAAAGGAACCCGTCACTCTCACCACTTCTCTTCATCCTTGTGATGGAAATTTTTGTTTCTAAGATAAAACAAGATATTAAAATTGAAGGATTAAAAGTAAAAGAGGATCTTAAACTAAAGGGTTATGCAGATGATGTGGTCCTTACAATTTCGAACCCCCTACAATCTGTCCAACATGTAATAGAGCAAACTGACAAGTCTGGATTCTTTTCAGGTTATAAAAGCAACAGGAAGAAAACCAAGATTATTTTAAAAGTTTCAACTACTCAAGAGGAAGAGATTAAGAAAATTTCAGGATGTGATGTAACAAATATATATTACAGGATAGAATGATACACTAGTAAAGGACAATTACTTGACAACCTGGTCCAAAATACAAAAAGATTTAGTGAGATGGTTCAAACTACATTCATCCTGGCTAGAAAGAATTTCTGCGATAAAAATGAATGTGCTACCAAAATTAAACTTTTTGTTATAGATGATACCAACTTCAATTCCTGAAAAGACTTTGAATGACTGGCAAAGACAAATAAATAAGTTTGTATGGAAAGATAAGAAGCCAAGAGTAAGATTCAAAGTACTGCAAGACGAGAAGAAAAGAGGTAGTTGGTAATACCTAACATTAAATTATATTACCAAGCTGCTGGGCTAGTTTGAATATCAGATTGGATCAGAAGTCCCAATGAAAGATTGATAAAATTAGAATCTTCAAATCTTATGGACTACATAGCTATCTGTGGATTAAAAAATCTATATCAAAAATCAAAACACAAGATAAAAGACATATAATCAGAGACATCTTATTTTAAAATTGGGAAATGCTATGAAAGAGAATCAGCTCCACAATTCCATTAATAATGTCACCAATAGATCCTTACTATGGCAATTATACAAGGGAAAACAATGATTTTATAACTTATGGTGACATGATAAACTCTCAAGGTGGTATCAAGATGTGGCAAGATTTAAAGAAGGAAAGGTGATACAATGGTGGATATACTTTCAAATTGCTTCTAGATTAAAAAAGGATATCTTCACCAATAGAGAGGTTATCAATGAACTGATGGATTTTGAAAAGATTGTCTCACAATCTAAAGACCATTTATTAAGATGAATTTACAAGTTATTGCTTCAATATGATTCTGAAGAATAGATTAAACCCTGCATGATTAAATGGATACAAACTTTTGGAGAGAAAATACAGTTTCAATGTTGGGAAAATCTATGGACTAAAGGTATTAGATTTACAGCCAGTCAAGCACTAAGGGAAAACTGGTACAAGATGTTTTATCAATGGTACATCACTCCAAGATATTGCAAAGATGGATAAGAACTACAAAGGGGCTTGTTGGAAATGTAAAAAAAATGGCATCTTTTATCATATGTGATGGACTTGCAACAAGACAAAAAGATACTAGAAAAATATATGTGAAAAAGTTCAAAATATTTAAAAAATCAAATTCCCGATGAAACCAGAGACTATGTTACTGGGAATCTTAACAGACAATATAGACAGAACCTCACAAGACCTATTTAGATATATGTTAACAGCTGCCAGAGTAATATTTGTAATGAAATGGAAGAAGACTATCCCACGAAGGAGATCTGGAAAGAAAAACTAGCTGAGTATGCAACACTGGCAAAATTAACCAATTATATAAACAAAAGACCACTGAAAGAATTTCAGCAGAAATGGCAAGTTTATCATACATACTATGGAAATCACTTTCTTTCTTTTAAGATTTGGAATTATCTGAATATCAGATTAAAGGTGATGGAAGATATTGATTATAAGGTTTTTACAATGATTTAATTTTAGTATAAAAGTGTGTTTAATTGTTAAAGATATAATTTCCGTTATCGTTAATAGATTATTGTTAACCTTAGGAAAGTTTCTGTTTATTCTTTAAAGAGAGAATCTATCCCAAATGTTGTAATTCTGTAATATTCAAGATTTACTGTTTGCTTTTATAATGGAAACAAGGGGCAGGACCCGCAATACTCGCGGGGGGGGGGAGGGAGCTCCACACCTATGAGGAAGAGGAGGAAGCAGCAGGAGGTAAGTTCCCCCCCATCCCGCCGGTTCCCCCCGTCTCCTCCCCCCCCCTCCACCCCCTGGCTCGATCTCCCCCCCCGCTCCGAAGCGAGGGTGCCTCGCTGGTCTCCCCCCCAAAGCGAGGCCCAAGCGGCTGCAGCCGCCATGCCTCGCTGGTCTTCCCCCCCCCCCGAAGCGGCGGCGGGGCCGGCTGCAGAGCATTCCCTGCGCTTTTGGGGGGATTTAAGTATCCCTCCCGATATTTTTTTACAGGGACTGCCCCAAGTGTGCACAAACATCTCCCTCCCCCCCAGGTGCCCCCGATGTGCGGAAATAAGTATCCGCACGCAGGGGGCGACTTCGGTATTAGATATATAGATATGTAATACATTTGGTAATATATCTGATTTTACTTGTACATAATAATTCATAATACTTTACAAATTTGATGAATCTATGTTTTTCCCCTACCCCTTTTTCTCCTTCTGTATCCCACCCTTTTGAGAGAAAATAAAAAAAAATTCATTTATAAAGAAAAGGTTTTGGTATATAACATTAAGGCAGGGTCATCTTACATTCAGGGCCACCTTCCTTTCAAGTAAATACAAGACTATGAATCTAGGAAAACTAAAAGATGTGAAACAGAATTCTTCAACTCATTTAGAATTGTTGGGTTGGGACCAAAATACTTACTTCCACTGCAGCCTACCACATCCTGTGAAACTACCGTGGGATGAGGGAATTCCTACATATAGCGCTGGGCATGGTGTGCTGGTTGGCAAGGGGAAGGAAGAAATACTTGCAGAACTGTCTCTCTGTTGGCAGGAAGCAAGCTTCACCTTCAACCTACTTAAAGTGTGTTTGTGCCTTTTTGAGACAAGTAAGAAGAATAGGTTCACCTATGCTGAGGACTCCTTTTGTGAACCTAATAGTTCTTAGAATGAAACAGCAGTTCCCAGTAAACATTTATATCAACTCTTTAAATAGAAGATTCAAACATATCCAGTATATTGACAGACCACTTCACAGCAATGTAAAACTGCTTTATTGACTGTAGTTTTCAATAGCACAGCTCAATAAATATTGATCCCAGAACATTAATCATATAGGACAAGAACAAAGAAGGTCCCTGAAGAGTGTAATGGAATGGGAGAAAGCAAAACTACAGCAAGAAGCATCCTGGAGTCATTTCTATTTCTTGGGCATAGAAGCCACGTAGAGTTCATAAAATAGGTACCCTGTTCCTGAAAAAAAGAGACATAACATTAGGACAGATTTTAAGGAGATACTTTCTTTGATCATAAATTCTTAGTAGCATACTCTCTTCTGGAAATGATATACACAGGGTTTGTCCTCCTCCTCTGAGCATTTGAAAAAAGTTGGTATTTAAAGAGCTTCAAGTATACTATTCTAGAATCTCAATTTTTACTTCAGCTTCCATTCTAGAATTTCTGCTAAAGTTTCTGTTTTTTTTTAACATCTTCAGCAAATCATTTTTAATGCTAAACTCTCTTGAGCCTTTAAGATATTTACTCAAATATTTAAATGAAACAGGTATAGTAGCGACAAGTTACAGCAGACAAACTTTAACTGAAAACCTGGAAGAATCTCAGCATTTTTAAGCAACTGAATTAAATGTAACCTTGAGCATCTTTAGATTTGCATCCACCCAAAGGCTGATATGAGAAAAGAGTAATATGGGACCAGTATAGTGTATTTCTGCCCAACAGCCCAGTCCTCACCATTACTTTCTGTAGGTCTCTGACAGCTTTTTAAAGAACAGGATGAGAATTAGGTAATAAGCATGCTTACAAGATTACATGTAGAACAAGCCAAGGAAGTATAGCTGATAAAAAATGCTACCAACAAGCAGAACTAAGTTAGTAAGCATTTTAAGATATAAAAAATGAATACAAAATATAAACTCTGTCAAGAACTAAGTTAATGCCAAGTGGATCCTACAAAACACAAGCGTGTTCATTCCTACAAATGTGCCCCCTCCGATGTTGGAAGTCACAGAACCTCTTTGGGCAAAAAGACAATGCACTCAGGAGGCTGCAATGGCCAGTGAGAACTGGGTCAGGTGGCCTCCATCTTTCCATTCTACTAGTAACATTTCTATTGGTGCCACTGGTGCTAAAGCAAGATGAGGCAATTTTGCCCAGCTACTCTTCCTTATGGCAGCTCCCAGCCATGCAGGTTCTGCAGCTGCCAGCAGCAGCTTTTATGAGGTTGCTGGGGAAAGCATGAAAGATCTGCTTCAGCAAGTGACTCCTGTTAGTACTTTGTTGGAGCCAATCACATATTTTTACAGCTCAAAAAACAGCCAGCAGAGAGTGTCCAGGTTCTTGTCTGAGATTTATGCAGCTGAGCAGGTGCTTCATCTGTTAAAAAGTATGAGTGAAATACCAGAGAAGAATGAAACTGCTTAACTCCTGTATGTTGTTAAAGCTTACCAAAAACACAAAGCGTCATAGTTAATCGATACAGCAGTACATCTTTTACTCCACCTTTGAGGTACACTGGAAGGCCATTATCTTCCTACCAACAAAGAGGAACACAGAATACATGCATTAGTTTGTCTTATCTACAGCGATGTCAGTGCCACTCTTCTATAATTTAGCTGCAATATTACAAAAGCCAAATCCAACCCACCTTCTAAAGATTATCTGCCCTTTGGAAAGTAACCTGCAAGCTCCGGGGTTCTCAAACCAAAATGCCAGGACTTTTAACTAAAAAGCTAACAAATTTACATGGTTCACATGTCCTCGAAACTGCATAATCTATGAGGGTAAGAGCCCCCTAATGGCTATGAATGATAGTCTGCAAAGTTTCTGTGAGGAACTAGACTCTGTAGACTTTTATAAAATAGTTTTGTAACGCTTAATCATCTGGTTTGTTTTAAATATGCAACCTATTTTGGTTAAGCTTTTGGGACTGTCTGTCCTATGTTTCATGCTCACAACATCAGAGACAGGTTACAGCTGATCATGTGGATCATATGCCCCGATTTGCTAAATGCTGTATTAATGGAGGGCTTTTCCTCCCCAGGAGTGAGATTGCAAAGTGTTAAACCAAGCAAGAGATTAGCTATCAAGAAAAAAGTGAGACCATCTTAAAATAATAATGTCAGACTTAACTGGGTCATTCAGTGCCTCAGACATTTAGCAACATAATGTTTTTTATTATTAAGTATACTGGTTCATAATAGCCTAAAATGGTAAGTAGACTCTGGTCTACTACTAATACACAAGTTCAATTATAAGCAATTTTCTATCCAGTTTGGCACAGAGTAGAACTAGTCAGGTAAACTATTAATAGCAGGTGTTAATCTGTCTTTTACTATTGTTGGTATAAATTAAATAAACAATAATTAATAGTAAATAATACTATTGTTGTATCTTTCGTACACCTTTGCATTGTTAGCATAAGTAAGCCTTTGAAAAATAATTCATATTAAAACATTCTATTCAGTTTTTGCCTGCATAAAAAGTCCAGGATTAGAAACACTGCCACGAAGCAGGAGGCAATTTCTAAAGAGGTTTTGTGAAGGACTGCCTGCCCTGAGCCCGCTTGCGGGGAGGGCGGGGTAAAAATGCCTTAAATAAACAAACAAACAAACAAACAAATAAACAGAAAAAAAGGGCAGATGAACTCTAACAGAGGAAGGAGAAAGGCACGGTGTTTTTCTGCAATGGTGCTGGATTTATCCTGTAGAAGAATAGTTATTCCAGAGAAGGAGACAACCTGTGGACTGGCTGAGAAGCTGGCTGCCAAAAAAGCGGTCCTTTTGTTTCTCCCCTTATCTAGGACTTCTGCTGTGAGCCTTTAAAGAACAAACACTTCTCTGAGGGGCCTGCCTCAGCACAGACTCTGCTGGGACACTCTGTACCTGCCCCCACCCAGAAAAAAATATTCAGGCCTTCCAGGACCTTGTGAGTAGAACTCCAGAGACTAAGGAGACTTACTTCTTCCCTCAGAGAAAGTCCTTCTAGGACTATTTAACATATTAGTTTATTGCAGTTAACATTTTTTACCAGAACGTCCTTTCAATAAAAGTTATATTTTAAGTATCAGCAAATGGGGCAATGACTCATGACCCACTAAAGCAACTTAGCCCTTTTTAAAGATGAACCATTTACACATATAGATAGGCAACTGGGTTTAACAACTTTTAGCATTGCTAATCAAATAAGCAGCCATCATTTAGCAATCAGGCTCTACAGCCTTAAAGCATAAAGTCAAGAACGTATTTATTACCATCAGATCAGTAAGCCGTATTAAACATCTTCACACACCAAAGTCCATACCACCATCAATTCATGTTTTGTAAAAAGGGAGCAAATGTAAAACAAAGATAAAAGTTAGAGAGAATATGGAGCCGTGTATTCTCAAGGCAGAAACAACCAATTACCTGGAAAAATTTCTGGTGTTCTTTAACCCTATTTTTAAACTGCCTGCGTGAGGCAGTACTTATGCTTCTCTGGAAAATACTTCGAAGAGCCTACAACAAGAACACAAGTATTTAATTTTTTTAAAGCTGCATATTTGTGCACACCTACTTGAAAATACATCAAATACTATGGCTGGAGCTAATTATAGATAGTGAAAATTCCAATGAAGACATACAAATAGGCAATATGGCAATGTTATCTCTGCATTAGATCTCAGTATGAACCACAGTGCATGATGATAAAACCTGCAGCCACAATTATAACAATCTTTTTCAAACCATCACTAGTGCCCCTGTACTGCATCAGTGAATAATGCAGTTTATGCTGAGGACCTGCCATGAGATTACATGCAATGGTCCAAAAGAAAATCCAGAAAATTTCAGGGACATGTATTTTTCTGAAGACACTTTCCTCCCTATTTTTCCAACAAGAAAAAAGTAAGTTTGGGGGAGCGCTTAAGAAAACCCCAATGGACTATTCTCTTTTGAATAACTGAAACGCTTTCTAAACAGACATTTTATCTGGTTAAAAATGTATATCATTTAGAGAGGTAAAACTTCCAGAAATTTTGAAGCCATGAAAGGAAACTTTTCCTCCTCGTTTTATTTCCAGGGGAAAATATGTGCAATATTTACTTTCTTGTGAAACCCAAACGTTACTGATTTAACAAAATATGTCATCTACAACTTAGCACATAAAATTGTCCAATTTGGCATATTTATGGAATTTAACAGTATAAATATCTTAAATTTCTATAATAAAAATTGCAAGTACACCCTTACAAGGAAAAAGATGCAACTGAACTGTACTTGTCTATTTGAACTGCAGTTGTTATAAGCAGTACAGGATCCCCAAGACTTCACTGCCAGATTGCTGAATATGTGACAAAAGACTGTGTTTACCTCCTAGGAGGCAGCTTCTGGCCTAGGTACAAAACATGCTGCTCCTTTTGCTATTTACAGAATTGCAGAATGCTAATCTTAGGATCATGATGCAGCCTTATTGATGATGATACTTTGTTGGAAAATAAAATTTTGCTTATCAGGAATATAAGAACAAGCCTGCTGGGTCAGACAGTGATCAGTCACCCACTTAGCCTAGGCTCCTGTCCCAGACAGTGGCCAGTTACTTTAGAGGACCAACATCAGGACCTGGAAAGTTATCTATTTTTTTTAATTTCCCCAATACATCTACATCTCTCATCACATCAATCTAACTCAGTTCTTCAGACTCCCTTCATGAAAATAATGGCTGTGGCATTGGTACATGCCCCACACTTCCACAGTGAGCACAGATAAAAAGAATTTAGCTTCTCTGCCATCTCACTATCTTCCTTTAGCAATCTTTTTATTCCTTGGTTATCCAAAGGCCCAATTGCTTCTCTGTCTAATTACCTGCTCTGGATACATTAAAACAAATGCTTTTTGTTTGTATTGATACTTTCAGCAATCTACTACTCGAGTTCTCTTTTTGTGCCAGAGTCTGTGGTCCCTTCTGTCCACAGATGCTATGTTCAGATTTTTTAATTCTTCCTGCCCTGGCTGGGTGGGTTTCCCTTTGCCCTATCATGAGGTTGTGAGTGCAATCCCATGCGAATCACTCTGCCCCCATCTGAAATCAGCTTTTGACACATGCAACCCTTTATGGTCCAACTCAGGGAAAGGTCAAAAGTCTGATATGCTTGACTGGGGGTAGTAAACAGAGAAAGTACCTGAAAGAAAGATCCATCCCCAAAGCTTTGACAGCAGTATAAGCAAACAAACCATTACCTTCCACCCAGGCCACAAGGAGTTTGGAAACATTATTCCTACTCAAAAGTAAAACAACCAAATGATGTAGATTATACAAGGGAAGGGAAGTGGTCCAAAGTAAAATTCAAAAACAATAGTTACATAATACAAAAACCAACTAAAATAAGAGCACGTTCCCATCAATAATGCTTTTTTAAAAGGTGCTGGGGGGAGCAGGGATAAAGAAAATAATCAGGTTCTGACGTTTGCAAAAGTTAGTGCTAGAAAAAGAAACGAATGAGAGTCTTCTTGCATGCCGCCTCTTCTAGCAGCTCTTTGGAAAGGCGACATATACATTTTCTAAATACAAGGCACTGCCTCTGTTGGGAACAAAAGGCACGATCGCGCCCTTCTTCTCAGAACATCTTCAGCCTCCCCACAGCTTCTTCCCTCCATCAGCGCTGCTTATCCTTCCTCAAGACGGCGGTACTTTACAGCCCAATCCTCGACCATAGAGAGACGCACAGGCTTAGAAAGACCTGGGCTGCGAGGGTCCCCGGCTCTCAGGGAGCCGCACAAGGGCGAGGCGGGATCACCCGCCCTTTCTAAATGCCGCCGCCGCCACTGAGTCCGTTCCACAGTATTTCCCTCCTCTCCGCCTTCACGGCCGCTTCCAACAGTCAAACCCCTCTAACCCCCCGAGTCTGAGTTTTTTTGTTTTCTTCTTCCCTCCGCTCAAACATCTCACGCCTAACCAACCTACCAAAGCGTTCCGAAACATCTTGAATCCTTCCACTTCCCCCTCTTCTTCGTATTCTTCTGCTTCTCCTCCTCAAACCCAAGGGCACCGGAAAAAGGAAGTGATTGGGCTCTCAGACGTCACGTGAAAGGAAAACCCAGTTGCTGAACTATAGAGGAGGCGTGTGCCATAGAGTCGGTAGCCGGAAGGAAAGCCTGTGGGGTGGTTTTGCGCTCGTGTTCGCGAAAGGTTGCAGCGAGAGGGATATAATAACGCTAATAAAACCAGACAACGGTAACAGAAAACCGAAATCTGCCGCTTCCAAAATCCTGGGGAAAAATTATGTTTATTGTAACCTGTTTTCCTTATTCGATTATAACTCAGAAAGATTGAAGGTCAAAGAAGACGGGGACGGCAAAGGATGAGATGGTTAGACAGTGTCATCGATGCAACGAACATGAAATTGAGCCAACTTCAGAGGACGGCAGAAGACAGGAGGGCCTGGCGGGAGCTGGTCCATGGGGTCGCGAAGAGTCGGACTCGACTTTGGGACTGAACAACAACAACAAAGGTTGCAAATCCTAAGCACGCTTACTAGGAAGCATTGCGAAGTTTATTTTAATGTGCAGCTGACAAACATTTTATATGAAATTGAAACACATTTGTGTACTCTTGCGTGTGGCGTTTGATTCTTAAACATGAGTTGGAGTCTAATTTTGTTTTCTCGCGCTTAGAAAAAAAAATCTAATGTACATGCGAAGAGATGACGAGGAAAGACTTTTACAAACCCTGCAGCAAGTCCTTAAGGAATTTGGTGGGACTGGTGAGTGCAAATGCTTGAAAACCACAGCCTGTGTTGTCCTAATATGCAACTACCGCCATGAGAATTAGACCCCTGATTTACTCAGACGTGTAAGTTCTTCATAGGATTTCAGAGGCGTTTTAAAGCAAAACGGAGACACTTCACGTCTACAGTACTTTTGTACCCATCCTCTTCCTCTCTCTTGGTTCAGGTAAAAAGCCAACAGGAGGAAGTGACTTGTTTTCAAGTAAACAAACATCAGGTAGATCTAGTGGCACCCTTTAAGACCCAGAAAGTTTTATTCAAGATATAAGCTTTTGTGTGCATGCACACTTGTTCAGATATAATGAACCTGTGTGCCCACAAAAGCTTATACCTGAAAATAGTAAATTTGTAACTAAAGGGTCCCAGTTGTAGGTTTAGGATCTCAGTGCAAAAGTTCAATGGAAGTGAAACCTTGCTTCTTAGACTTTATTTTCCTCAGTGTTTTTTTGTTTGTTTGTTCTTATAAATAAAACTTGATTAACCCTTTGGTCTGTATTTCTAAGGGGAAGAAGTGCACACACATGTTAATATCTTGGTCTGCGTACATATATTCTAGAATATGAATGATTGGTGGCAGTGAGGGATTGGAAGCCTGTTGAGCCCCAACCCCAAATAGCTTTGTGTGAGTGAGGGCTGATTTTAAAGGAAGCTGGGCTACCCTGTCTGGATGTTTCTGGGAGTGAGAGGACCTGGTGTGTGAGATGGTCATAACTCTTCAGATTTTAAGAGACAAGAAGGGTAGTGACATCCTGACCTTCCAAACCATAAGCTCAAGAACAGAGGTTGTACAGGGCGGTAGGAACTCTGTGTTACACTGGCTCTCTACATGTTTCTTAGCAATCAGCAGTGTGGTGGGGCTAAATGGGATGCGGATACAGGTTCTGAACTTTAAAAAGTACTGGAATGTGGATAAGATTGACAAGAGTATGGGTTAACACCTTTGTAGCTACTATTTGCTGTGCTGCAGGATTGTTATGCACAATCCTCCTCATACCGGTTTTCCAGTTCCCAAGAAGTGGAAGAAAGCAGAATACCAAACTGCTCCCCAAAAGTTAACAGAGCTAATAGCATCTGAAGTTGTGGTAGTGGCCCGATTGTAACCACAGGAATTGCCAACATTGGTCTGAGGATAGTATTGAGTCAGTGTGGGCCTAATGGACAAATACACCCCGTGTTATTCCCAACCAGGAAGCTCCTGGCCAGAAAACACCTTTCAGCCGTGGAGAAGGTATGGCCTGCTGTCAGGCTTGTGTACATGTCATATTCATGCTATATGCAGTAGAGTGTGTGTTCTTACATGGAATTACCATGTGCCCATGCCTGTGGCAGGCAAACTCTTCAGTCACCTGTGCTTGATCAGCTGAGCAGCAGGAGAAAAACTGTGTGCTGGGGGACCTTAGAGCAGGGGTGTCAAACATATGGCCCATGGACTGGATCAGGCCCATGGCAAGGCTGCAATCTGGCCCAAGAGCTGCAGCTCCTTCTGGCCATTCTCTCCCAGTTCCTGCTTCACAGGAGAGAAAGCCTTCCCTTGATTGGCTGAGGGGGGCTCCCCCCCCCCCCCGTGGCCTAGGAAAACCAAGGTGTAAGAATAGGGACTTACAGATTCTGAGGCTTTCATTAAGTGCGATTAAGCTGTAAGTTTTTACAGGATAGTTGTAGCCTGTTGGAGCCAAGCATTAATTAAAAGCACCTAGAGGCCTTGACCAGGTGGCATAAGATGCTTTTATCTGGTTGCCAGCTAGCAATGGGGATTAACCAACTATGCCGATTGGCTAATGGGGGTTATGGGGGCTGACAAGGAGATGCCAGATAGCCTCATGAGGCTAGCTATGAAGATGGTGGCGATATCAGAGAAGACTCGGATCAAAGCCCGGGGGGCTTCAAGCAGAATACCAAGAACTGTTCCTGTCAGAATGGACTCTCCTTCTTAACCCTTCAGGTGAGACATTCAGGTTCTAAGATTACCCCCACAGAGGGAAGCCTGCAAGTATTTAGTGATTCAGAGACTGCCTTTGCCAAGCACAAGTATAGTGTTTTGCCAATGTTGTGATTTGTAAGTGGTTTCTGCCCAGCAAACACTCTTCATTGTTTGATCGATTTGAATAAATGCAGAGAGACTTCTTTTTATCTGCTGTGTCAGGAGTACTTGCTGAACATCTATGCACATCCTCAAAGGGAACCCAGAAGCTAAAAAGCCTTAACAAAGGACCAGGGCCCGGTGAGATCCCTGAGGGCCCCAGGTGGCTGTGAGTTCAGCACCTGAGAATGGGAGAGGGTTTTCCTTGGTCCAGACACAAGGCCTTACATATGGGGATGAAAGTTTATCCTACACACAAATCTTTCTTCACTGTGCTGGTTCCACAACACTAAGGGCAATAATGGCAAATTGCTCCGGTAAAGTTTGCTTTTACAAGAGTTTTTTACATCATTCATGCCCATGAGCATGAAATGTGGTAACTGACACTTTATCCAGTAGGATGGAAGCCCAAAAGGTGTTGTTTGTACCAAAAGCAAAGAATGGTTTGCACATATGCAAAGGTGTATTGTACCATTTTCTTATTCAGTTTCTGTAAACCAATGTTTATGTTGCCTGTTAATATGACTGTGATGTAATAAAGTATATGCAGTCAAGTTTCCCACATTTGGGGAAATCGCAGGGTCAGAACACCCAAAGTGCAATGGATGAGCCCTACCCCGGGAAAACCTTCATGACCAAAGTATCTCCCCTGCTGTATATTTTTATGTATGCCAATAAAAGTACTGAAACTCATAAGTATGCCTCACTGACCAGGCAGAGACCCGAAAAAGGTCTCACCTGTGTCAATGAAAAGGGAAACACAAACCATCTGCTGTTTCATTCCCGAGCCTATAGAAGTGCAGTTTCCAGCATCCAATCACCTTTCAAAGGGGGGATGGAATGTTGGAAGGAAGCAGAGGAGTAATTTTTTAGTTTGCCTCAGAAAAAAGAGTAGACAGGATGAAGAGTAGAACAGCAGAGTGGTTTAGCTCTACCTTTGGGAGAGGACAGAGTATCCAGTTATTAGGCCTGTCTCTGGTGATGAGCAGACCTTGACCATTTAGTTTGATTCTCGGGAAAGGGCAGGCTGGTGTGGGTGGAATCCAACCCAGTGGCTAGTTGGTGAACACCTGTTTGTACCTGCCAGCATTAAAGAATTCAAACCACACTCTGAAGTCATAACTAGCTGAAACTTCTGTGCCTCAGCCAGATTTCTCCTTTGACTACCTGGAGCAAGGATGGGCATGAACCTAAAAAAAGGCAGTTTGGTTCACGGCAGCCCCTGAACTCAACAAGTAAGTTCAGTTCCTCCTTACTCCTGGCCGCAGCAAGCCCTGGAAGGGACTTCCCTTCCCCCTTTCTCCTGGCCATGGCTTGCCACAGTCAGGAGAAAGGGGATGGGGACTGCCCAGGAAGGAGCTCCATTTACCCCTTTGGTTTTGCTCCCCCCTGCTTCATGGGGGGGGGGGCAGGGAGCAAAACAAAAGAGTTAAACGGCTGGCCCCAAACAGCCAAATCAAACCTGCCAAAAGTCCAGTAAATGTTTGGGGAATGCATCTTCCCCAAACATCGGTTCCAGAGCTCCAAACTGTCCCAAGTTTGGCCCAAATTTTGGCTCATGAGCCGGTTCACTCCCATCACTAATCTTTACACTAGCTGCCCTAATAACATCTTGTAACCCAGGGGAAAGTTGATAGTTTAAAACAAACCTGGTTCCCTAAAATCATAAGAGGCTCAGGTGATAGAATAGGCCTGTCATACAAGGCTTCACTAGATTACAGTTTATCTGGAGGTCTTTTGCACAGTCCCTCTGCCAATGTGGTCTTCTCAACTTCCACCAAAAATGGAGCTTCTTCAGAAGACGCATTTTTGCTAATGATCAAATTTCATAAACAAATGGGCAGCATTTATTCAACAGTGAATGTTCATATTAACAAACCAATTTCATGTATAATAACCTCATATACAGACCTATGCAATATGTATAATTTAAAATCACCGGAATGGGTTCTTACACTTGACACAGGCATGACAAAATGTGTAAGATGTGACAATCCTCATTTATACTACCATGGCAATTTTAAGCTTACTTTCATGGCAAACCTTCATTTCATGAACTCATGTAATTGATGAAAGAAAAACAAAACATCTTCTGGAGTAGATATATTTTTTTCCAGTTAAGAATATGCAGATAGTTATGATAAATTCTTAAAAGCACAGCTTTTAACCTGAGGAA